CCCACATCTAGCTTCAACCACCACTCCAATTTCTCAGCCCTTCTGAGGACCAGTCCCACACACTGTGCCATCATGGACCAATTTAAACCATTTTATTTCCCTGCTTCTGAAGTTTTATTTTCCACCCAACATATTTTCAAAGCAAGGGGAAAAAAATCTCACAGGGTAAAAAAAGAGAAAATGAAGAAACAAACTACCACGGATGGAATTTATTTCAGTGCTTCACGAAATCCTTCATGAACTCACAGTTGTCCTAAGGGAGGCTGTGGTGGTTCTCACTTAAACAGACAGAGAGTGAGGCTCAGAAAGGTTGAGTGGAGCCAGGCATCAGTGGCTCATGTCTGTAATCCTAGCTACTCAGGAGGCTGAGATCTGAGGATCACGGTTCAAAGCCAGCCCAGGCAGGAAAGTCCGTGAGCCACTTATCTCCAATAAACCACTAGAAAACTCTAAGTGGTGCTGTGGCTCAAGTGGTAGAGCGCTCTCCTTGAGCTGAAGAGCTGAGGGAGAGCGCCCAGGCCCAGAGATCAAGCCCCATGACTGACAAAAAAATAAAAAATAAAAGAAAGGTTGAATGGACTCACTTGCACACAGCCAGTTATGAAGAAACTCGATTCAAATAGGCTGCTTTTGTTTTTGTTCACTTGTTTCTACCCTCATCAAAGTCTGACAATGGTGTCTGGTTCACTGCTACTTTAATATCATGACATGCAAAACGATCCAGCATATATCTATGTCCCCTTCCATCCTGTCCCTCTTGTCATTTGTGTTCAAGAAGTGGTATCCTCCCAGGAGGCTACTCTTTCTCGTGCACAAACCATAACCCGGATCCAAGTAGGATCACCATGTATGCTGATTTTATGAAATATTTCTTACTGCCTTTGTATACTGTGTTCTTCGTTCTTCATTCCTTAGACTGAACCTAGACCTGTCTCTGTGCTAAGCTTTTCAAGTTGTTATATCTCCCCCCTTTCCTGCCCCTAATTCTAATAGGGTTTATCTCTCATTGGAGGTCATGGTACTTCTGTTTATACTTGTCATCTTCTGTGAACTTTTGTCTGTTTTTCCCACCTGACTCTGATATAGTTAAGCACATACACTAGACTTCTTAGCACTAAGTACTGAGACTGGTATAGAGTAAGGACCAATAAATGTTTATCTCACCATATTAGGCAGGGAGGAGACATTTAAGGGAGTAATCGATTTATATGGAGTATAAAGGGAATGACGATAACTCAGAGGAGGCAGGGTACAAGACAGCACCATATCTGCCCCACATCCTGCCCTATATTGTCATGGAGATCACAGTAGATTATAGTTTAGGACACTTCTTGCTATAGTATCTGATGATCCCCAGTTATGAACCCAATGGGGTCATTCCCAACTCTACCCCCAAACTCTTCCTTTGGGGACACCACAGTCTTGCTTTCCATCTGACATAATCATTCTTGTTGGGTCTCCAAACCAAACTGCATGTATGTCCCACTGGAACCAGAACATGCATATCAGAGTGTCCTCACATATTTGTTTCTAAGCACAGTAACTGGTAGCCGTGGACGCTCATAAACAATTAGGAATCAACACTTACAACTTAGCTTATTAATTGGCTGAACCATTATTTCCACATGAACTTTTGTGTGTGGTAATGCTTAAAGAGAAATGTTGAAAAGTTTAGAGAGGGTCTTAATGCCTCACAAGTCCATGGTCCAGCAAATCGCCAACAAAGTGGATCTCCAGACGGAGAAATAACTGGGGAAAAGTGACCCCAGGGTTCTGGTTTGGCCTTGTTGGGATCTATTATGTTCTCTGGAAGTACAGAAAAGATACAGCTGCCACCAGGCCAATAGGAAGGCTGATAAGAAAACCAGGCCAGATGTTTTGAACCTGGAAAGCTGAAACACAGCTGCATCTTACAGCACTGTTGGGAAATTCTGACTGCTAGTATGCACTTTGGCTGGCTTATAATTATTTTCATTTTGTTAATTCATTTTAGTCATGGTGAATGAAAGAACAAGTTTTGATATAAGCCTGGGACCTTGTTTTCATGAGACTGTAATTCATCTCAAAGAAAGAGGGATATCAAGTCATTAAGTTTGGCCCAAGTTCATTTCTATACTTAGGTGATAAAATGTGGCCTAGAGTGACTGACTGCAAAGATGATGAGCAAACTGTTACCAAAAAGCTGAATCCCAGCAATTCACAGCGGCTCAATCTCCAGCCAATCAGAATAACAGCTGCCAAAGCATGTCCATATACGGCAAATGCTAACTGCAACCAATCAGGACGTTCCTTTATGTTAACTTCCTTTCCTCTATCTATAAATGAAACCCACACATATAGTAGGGTTGGGCAATCCCAATCAACTCTGACAGAACTTGAGAGGTTCTAGATCCTGATTTTGTTCTCAGTCTGTCTCTGTCTCTCTTTCTCAAATAAACTGTTCAATTTATCTCCTCTCAGACTTACTTTTTTGTAGGTAGTACTGGGGTTGGAATTCAGGGCACTGTGCTTGCTAGGCAAGTTGTCTGTCACTTGAGCCAGGCTCCCAACACATTTGTGCTTTTTGCCCAGGGTCTGACTTCAAACTATGCTTGCTGCTCCCACAGCTGGGATTTCAGATAAACACCACCATGGCTAGCTTATTTGTCAAAATTGTGGGTCTCACTAAGTTTTTTTTGCCAGGCTGTCCTGAACCCACAAATACAAGTATCTCCCCCCCTCTCTCTTCTTTTCTTCCATCCCTCCCCTTCCCATTTTCCTTTCCCTCTTTCCCTTCCTCTTCTATCTCCCCCTCCTTCTCCCCCTTGCCCTCTTCTTAGACTGATTTCAGGTCTCAGCTTGTTAGGCATTGAGCCATATTTGTAGCCTCTCTTGGAGTTGGTCTTACTTTTATGCTTGAGCAAGCCCTGAGGGTTTTCCTACATGTGTTTCCCCATTTTGCTAGGAATGGCAAGTGTGCACCCCTGTGCCCAGCTACTGTCCTCACAGTTGGTCATTAATTGAGATAGTGTCTCAAAAACTTCTTTTCCCCACAACTGGCCCCCAATAACAATCCTTTCAGCCTCCCAAGTAGCTAAGATGATAAGTTTTAACGACCACACTTGGCCATATTTTTATCTTATTTGTTGTTTTTGTTTTTGCCAGTCCTGGGGTTTGAACTCAGGGCCTGGGTGCTGTCCCTGAGTCTTTTTGTGCTTACAGTTAACACTCTACCACTTGAACCACACTGCCACTTCCCGCCTTTTCTGAGTAGTTTATTTTAGATAAGAATCTCACAACGACTTTTCTACCTAGGCTGGCTTTGAACCATAATCCTCAGATCTCATATTCCTGAGTAGTTTAGAATTGCAGGCATAAACCCCTGGTGCCTGGCTTTTTAAAAATGTTTAAAGAGAGATTTAGGCTTAATTCTCCTAATGACCTTGAGAATCAGAATGGTGATATTACAAAGAAAATGAAGCATAAAATGTGGACTAGAGATGAGGTCATGGTCAGCACTGCCACAGGAGAGTCTGGAAAATACAATCTGTTCCAAACGCGACGTATGTGAATGTCCTGAAACATTTGTCAATTGAGTGGAAAAGCTCACAAATGGGGTTTTTGTTTTTTTTTTTGCTTACTAGTTATTAGAAGCTACCAAAAGGTGAATGAGGAATACAGTTAGAGCAAGAGCAACTCAGTGTGATCAAATAGGAAGTTGCTTTTTAATTTATAGTGTTTTAATGCAAAAATGTCTTTTGTTGCTTTTTTTTTTTTTTGGCGGTACTGAGGACTGAGCTCAGGGCCTTGAACTTCAGTGTTTTACCATTTGAGCCTAAGTCCTTTTGCTTTTTCAGTTGGTCTCTCAGTACCTTTGCCAAAGTAGGCCTCTGACGTCAATCTTCTTATCTCTCTCTCCCAAGTAGCTAGTATGATAGACATGTACCACCACACACCTGGCTTAGTTCTTAAATGGAGCCTTGTTAATTTTTGCCCAGGCTGGTCTCAAACTGTGACCCTCCTGTCTTTGTTTCCTGAGTAGTGAGGATTCTAGGTATGTGAATAAGTGAACTTATTTATAAAATAGTCTTGAGTTATGCTCTAGACATTTTATCCTTTTGGCAAAATGCCATATACTTGCATTTACGATGGACTGAGGTACTTTAAAGTCAGAATGCAGTACGGTTTTTAGTATCAGAACCTCTGAGATAGTCCAAGGAAGTCTGAGGATATGGGGGCGGAAGGCTGGCTTACTTCCCTGGAAGTCACTGTGGATGCTCATCACAGTGTGGTGGTAAAGCTGAAAGGGATAGTGCTGTCTTGGAAACTATGGAGAACTCTTGGCTACAGGTGAGTCACAGGTGAGCACTGTCGTGAGACTCCTGAAGCACACAGGAGGAAGAAGCTAAGATGCTTCGAGTTGCTTTAGATAACTCCAGAAAAAAAATTAAGTACTGAGAAGATCTTAAATAAATCCAAACAAGCTAATCATTAATATCATCCAGGGAGGACCAGTTTTAGACTAGTTCTATTTTATCTGACACTATGTTAGTCACCTTTAAATACAGACTTTATTTTTTTTTTGTCCCCCAAAACTGATTTTAGGCAGATTGAATGGAAGGGGAAGGAGAAAAGATTGACTTAAAATACACAGATTATCTTTTTTTTTTTTTTGTCGGTCCTGGGGCTTGAACTCTGGGCCTGGGCACTGTCCCTCAGCTCTTCAGCTCAAGGCTAGCGCTCTACCACTTGAGCTACAGCGCCACTTCTGGTTTTCTGGTGGTTTATTGGAGATAGGAGTCTCAAGGTCTCTCCTGCCCGGGCTGGCTTTGAACCGCGATCCTCAGATCTCAGCCTCCTGAGTAGCTAGGATTTACAGGCGTGAGCCACCAGCGCCCGGCCACAGATTATCTTTTGGTGTATCACATTCACACAAACTCAGTGCTTCACCATTACTTCTTAAAGGTGGTTATTCAGTTTCACTAAACAGCCTCAGATCACTAAGACAAATCTGTACTTACCAGAAATACTGCTATGGATATGCCAACGAGAAAACCTGCAATCACATCTGACCAGTGGTTCCGGTACTCAGCTACTCTGTTGAGTCCAGTAAGAAAAGCCAAGCACATTAGTCCTAGGCAGAGAACTGGCTTGGCAAGTCTGGTTCCTTTGGCTTTGATGGTATTGGTAATGTACATCTGAAATAATAAATAAAAATAAGACATTTCATGAGAACATAACCTTACTATACACACGTGACATATTATTTTGATGTGAACAAAGTTATATTGGCTATATAGATGCCTAGATAGCTCAAATCATTTGCTACAGTTTATGAATTATTTTAAAACACACATGTGTGTATGCACACGCACACGCACATGTGTGCATGTGCACAGTAATACTGGGGCTTCAACTTAGGGTCTGTGTATTGTCTCTGAGCCTTTTTTACTCAAGTCAGGCTGTCTACCACTTGAGCCACAGCTCTACTGCTGTTTTATTTTGGTGGTTAATTGGAAATAAGAGTTTCACATCTTTTCCTGCCCAGGCTGGCTTTGAATCTCAATCTCTTGAGTAGCTAGCATCATGGGCATGAGCCACCAACACACAGCTGAAAGTAAAATTTAAAGAGTAGCAATTACAATTTCAAGAGTAGCATTTTTACTTACCTGACAGCTATTTCTTACGAATGGCTCGTTCTTAAGTGACATTATTAATCATCTAAGCACACAAAGCACAAATACTCCAAATGTCCTTGTTTGTCACCTCTTGTTGTATCTACTACATTTGTACATTAAATCAGTCTCAGCAATACAATAAGAAGGGGGAAATTGATCATTTAATGTTTGACTTTCATCCTACCATATTCAGATGTATACTTGATAAGGCAAGAATTGTGAATCTAGTAGATAAATTAAAGGAGTAGGTTTCCAGTAATTAAACATTTCTTTGAAGAAAGGATTTAATGTTTGATGCAACACCAAGGTTTGCGTTAATGTTGTGACCAGAAATTGTGGAAATAATTTGCTTACATCTAACAGCAAAATACAATAAAGAAAACATGTAAACTAAAACACAGCAATGACCAGACGTCTACATTGTATCATTTTCCTATATGCTAATGAAGAGCATATTGTGTCATCTGATTGAACCAATGCTCAGGACTAATCCTGATCCCATGACCAACCTGGCGTATTACTCTGTAAGCATCTCTGGTGACTGCAAGTAGGAAGTGTCAGTTATTACTGAAGTTAATAGTAAAGCAATTATGAAAGGGATATCGTTGAGACTATTGCTAGGTTTCTGCGGTTGTTAATGTCGGTATCTACTTCTGCTAATAGTCTCAGAAAAAAATGCTTAGAGTGGATTTAATCATTTCACTATTATCCTGGTTTAAATTTTTAAAAATACATTTGCCTAAGCAAGTAAACCAAAATCAGCATTAAAAATTTTAATTAGACTGCCATGAAATTCAGTAACTACCTTCCGTATTAACAGAACTTTGCAGTTCTGGTAACTGCCAGAAGTTGTATAAATATTTAAAGAGTTCTAATGATACAAGTCTCTTTTCTCTAGCCAAGGTCTAGCCCTTGGTAATCTATCCCAGATCCCAATACTATTCTGGCAGAAAAAGAGATCCATCTTAGCCTTGACCTTTGGAGCTGGATCTGAGTATCTTAATCCTGTTCTCAGGAGGGCTTACTAATTTCAGTGACAGAAAAGAAGCACACATGAGGAAGAGAGAGAAAGAGATGAGAAAGACAAAAGGATGTTCTTCCTGCTCTGACAGAATGCATTAAAGAACTCTGTCCACAGGGATAAATAATGTAGCGGGGATACCAGGCCACGACCAAGGACTTAACTAATAGCAGAACTCTTTTTCTCGCTGATGTATATGGACAAAGAGAGGCTCTGAGATTCTCTTAGGATTATTTTTCACATAGCTATAAGCTGGTTGATGATTCCTGACCTTTTCATTCCTTCTCATCTGTTGAAATTCTAAAGATAGTCTAGCTTTATAAAGACCAAATAAAGATGGGCTAATTGAGTAATAGGAATACCATTAATATTAATTATAGCTATCATTTGGTACATAATTACTGTTCAGGGCACTGTTTTAACCAGTTTACATTATCTCATTAACTCTTCAAGATCCTCAGTTAATGGCAGATTCTGACTGGAGAGGAAATGATAGAATTTCCAGGATTATGAGTTTCAAAATTAATGGGATTTTCAAGAATCACAGACTTAAAATTAAGGCCAATCAGAGGCGTGCATAAAAAATAATACATGCATTTCCTTGGAATACAATCAGTATGAAGGTAATGAAACAAAATTAAGAGAATTTTCACTTGTGCTTGGCAGCAACTTAGTACTTTATGACTGTGAGTGGCTTTGAACCAGTCTAATTATATCTGTTCTTGCTAATATGTATAAGTAATGATGACATAATAACCTATTAAGCAAGTTGGATACAGGACAGGAATTGATAATTTATGTTTTCTGGGTTTTTTAATTCACTTATGAAACCATTTGGATTAACCAGATGTAAAAATCTCTTCAACACATCACAAAGAGAAAGATGGCATGATCTGAGCAAGATAGCATTCACTCAGTCTTCCAGGGCCTGTGGTTACTGAGGCCCTTATAGGGCCAAGGCATTCTACCACATCATCAGTCTTTATTTGCACATCCACAAATACCTATAGTAAGATGCAGGAAGCCCAAAGTTGATCATTCGCATACTATTCTTAGCCTGGTGTATATTCCTCTACATTTTTCTCTTTCTCACACACACACACACACACACACACACATAATTCATACATCTGTGAGGGACTTTCCTTATTTGTTTGCTTGTATTAACATAGAGTCATAAAACCCAAAGTTGTGATGTGATTTCTTTGTTCTCTTTGTTACAATAAACATCTTTGTTACAATAAACCCATCTTGTGGGTATAATTGCCTCAATTATTTATTAAAAATAAATTTCCAAAAGCACACATATTTGTGAAACACCTACTATGTACCAGAGGCTGTGTTAAGTTTCTTCAAGGAGGTGGTATCCAAGGTTCGATGCTGAAGGCTGAGCAAGGGCACAGGCAGCAAGGTCAACAAATAACATCCCTGCTTATGTGTTCTGAAAAAAACCCACCCCCACTATTTTCTCTCAGAACACTTACATGATGCATGCTATGCACAGTTACTGCCTGTTTTACTTTTAATCTTCACTTCAGTAAGGGCACAGAAGCCATGCCTGAGCCTTTCACTGTCAACTCTCTGCTTGACACTTTGCCTGACAGGCAGAAAGCACTCAATAAAGAACAAATAAAGGGGACGTGCAAAAATACAAGGGAAACATCACGGAGTAAAATTTTCTTTTTAACTCTTGATCCATGCATTCTAGTAAAGTGAACTCAGAGTGAATAGATCAGTGACACTAATCTCTTCACTCTACTAGAATATTCCATTCAGATGGGACCTGTTTATTGACTGGTCTCTCTGAAATCCACAGAAGGCTTATCACACAGTAGGCAGGCAAAAATGATTGACTGAAAAAAGCATGAATGGCATGGTTGTCTAGAAGGAAAGTCTTACAATTTGAAAGTGCTTCTCATTATTTAAAAGCATCTTGTTTCACTGTTTCCAGTGTCCTGCATCTTGTACATACATTTTTCTAATTTGGGGAGGGGAAGGGAAATAACATAATGCTGAAATAAGGGTACAGGTTGACCCATTGTAGCAATGAGTTGTACAAGACACTATGTTGAAAACCAACGGCGGGGGAGGTGGGTTGGGGGTGGGATGGAGGAGTTGGGGAGATGGGGCAGGAAGGGATGGTAGGGGGCAAAGGAGGAGGTAACAATGATCGATAGGAAATGTACTCATTACCTTACTCTTGTAACTATAGCCCCCTCAGTATGGTATCTTTACAATTAATATATATATATTTATATATTTAATTAAAAGATTAATAAAGAAGACAAAATTTAATTGCCTCCAAAAAAAGTGTCTTGCACATGAATTAGCTTATTCCTTATTTTCTTTTCACTTCCTTGTCTGTCTTATTTTCCCAGAAGCATGCCTGCTCCAGGGTAACACTTGTGATAGGAAAGAAAAGCCCCATGAAAGTGTCCACACACTACCTTGGATTCCTGTAACTTCCTGTAGATATGTTGCCTTATCTAATGAGTGGAGAACCAAGTAGAGAACCAATCCAAGTGGAGAACCTGCCTGGTTGTAATCAGAGACTGAGATTTGGAGACACACCACTCTCTACCTTTAAGTGGTAGAAGGAAGCAACGCAGCCTCTAGAAGCAGAAAGCACAAAGACTTGCCCTAGAGTTTCCTGAGGTTTGCAGACGAATGGCAATGTGGTGTTAGTACAGTGAGAATCTTGTTGGAGTTCTGACCTACAGAACTTTATGATAATGCATGTATGTTATTTTAGGTCACCAAGTTTGGAGTAATTTCCCCTAGTTTCAAAAGGAAGCTGATATTCCCAATCAATATCTGCTCATACAATGTTCTCAGTTAAAACTATATACTTGATTGATATCTGTTTAATGTATGGAAGAATTAATGCACGAGAATATATATTTTTTAGTACATTTCTTTTTTTTCTGCTTATGTGGTGCTGAGGAATCGAACCCAAGGCCTTAAGCATGCAAGGCGAGCGCTGTACCACTGAGCCAACTTCCCAGCCCCGAGAATATATTTTTTAAATGTCTTGCTAGAAGGGAAAGAGAATTGTGACATAGTAATTGCAATATCTTTACTTCGGCACTTGAAAAAAAATCTGGGTTTGAGTCCCACCTCCACCGTTTACTCAGGATGAGTTTTTCAACCTATCTAAGCTTTGTGTGTCAAATGTAAATGTTAATAATACCACACAGTATTATAGAGATTAAATACTATAACACAAATACAGCATTTAAAATACTTAGCCCAGAGTTTAGCCTATAGTGAATCCTCAGATGTCAGATCCAAACCAGAAACGATGAGAGGACCAGGACCTTGGTGTTGGGCCAGTGGCTGGCGAATGGAAATGTTAGGTGTGTGGGCCACTGAGGCCAGCCATTTGCCAAACTCCTTGTTTTCTTGCTTCATTCACACTTTCATTATGTTATTTTGTCATCACAAATTGTTTATTTTCAGAAGATTCTTACTATTTAGTTCTTCCATCCTGTAAAATAAA